TCTCTCTCTCATTTTAGTTTTTGAAAAATTCCAAAAAGACTTCTGACAAATTTCGGCGAAAGAATGTCGTCCGACAAGGTACAATACAAATTTGTTTGTGGCCGACCAGCCGACTGAACCAGCTAGATTGCCGCTGGCCAACCGTTGACTGCGATCGGCTTGACTTTTCCGGTCGTGGCCAATATGGCCGCCAAAGGCTGGCGGCTAGGCCATTTCTGGCCGAAAAGTGCAGTTGGTCGGACCTAGCTTGGTCGCAATCGTCGGTCGTCCGTCGGCAGTGCGCCGGTTCCGGCCGGCCGGCTGCTTTTTTAAATTTAAATTATATTAGTATAATTAGTATAAATTATAATATAATAAAATATAATTAATTATAATAGAAAAAATATATTAGTATAAATTATTTGAATTGATTATCTTATGAAACAGAACTTATTGATATTATGTAGAAGTTAGAAATTATTGTGTTATAGATTAGAGTAGGTTATCTTATGAAGTAGAATTTATTGATATTATGTTAGAAGTTAGAAATTATTGCGTTATAGATTAGAATCTTATGAAGTAAAATTTATTAATATTATATTAGAAGTTATAAATTATTGTATTATAAATTAGAATCTTATAAAATAGAATTTATTAATATTCCACTGATCACTACCTTTGAGCTAACGTGTAATTGAGCTCAACCATACAAACGAAGTGAAGCGCAGTGAAGGAGAATAGATTGATTATCTTAAAAATAGAATTTAGTGACATTATGTTAGAAGTTAGAAATTATTGTCCTATACATTAGAATAGATTATCTTATTAAGTAGAATTTATTGATATTATGCCAGAAATTAGAAATTATTGTGTTATAGATTTTAATTGAATATCTTATGAAGTAGAATTTATTGATATTATGTTAGAAGTTAGAATTGATTATTAATACAAGTCTAACGCTCGCCCGACCGAGAACCGCAGCAAACACGACTTCCTCCACCGGTCGAACGCTGAACCTGCACGAAAACTCTCACACCGGAGGTATTTTCCGGTGAAGAGCCTCCAACGCTCAAGTCAGATCTTGAGAGATAAAGGTGTATATCAAAATCTTAGGAGTTCTGGAAGTTAACTAAAACGATGATCCTCGTCCCTATTTATAGGGACGGGTTACCTGTTGGCCACGCGCGACTAGGCGAGTCTCGCCCTTCCTCCTCTGCTCGTCCGTACAGTTGCGCGTCTCCACTTTCCCTGGTGTCAGAAAACGCGTCAGCCGCGTCAGAGAATGTCAGAGTTCGTTATTCCTTGGCCCATTCACAGAGCGCTGCGTGTCCCCTTCCACGTGACGGAGATCCTCTAGCATATTCTGGCTGTCGACCAAATCTGTCCATGTGCTCGCGCGTGTAATCTGCCCCACAAACGGGGGATGATTGGTCCCGCGCCTATTCTCGCTGGAATGCGCCTTCTCGAACAGGTGCTAGAGTTTCTGTAGACCTGTCGACACTGCTCGACCACACCCTCATACTATTCTGTTTGGAGTGTTCTGCGAACCGGTCTAGTATATAATATCCCATATCAATTATATAATAAATTACAATTTACTATTATTATGTTAGAAGTTATAATTGATTATCTTGTAAAATTATTAACAAAGATCGTAATATATTGCAGGTGACACTCAAAAATTTTGAAGGAGATGGTTTTGATTACAAACTTTTTCACTACAGATGAATTATTTGTTAATTGTGAAAAAGTTGTTGAGTGGGCAAAAAAAGTTGGCAATTATGTATGGTTTCGAATTGGTCATCTCGAAACACGAAAAAGAAGGAAAGTAGAAGGTTTTGAGGTGTCGTCGAGAGAACGTTACAGAGACATTATAGGAGATTTAGTTAAGATTGTTTTCAAATGTTCGAAAACTAAAGCGTCCAAATGCCCTTTTCTGAAAAAATTCAAACTGGTGCCGCCAGAATATAAAAAATGGTGGATCTGGGTTCCTTCTAATGCTGAGAAGGGAACACATAATCATGCAATGGATGTGTATCTTGAGGGTCATCGATAGATGAGCGGACTTAGTGATTTATCGAAAGAGATTGTCCGTGATATGACTGCTGCTCAGGCAAAACCGACAGCAATTTTGGCTGCGATTCAAGAGAAAAACCCTGTAGACAACGCTACTCGCCGACAAGTATATAACTATAAAGTTAAATTGCGGAGAGATAGTTTGCAGGATAGAGATGTGGCTGCCCAGATTCTGCATTTGGCTACGGTTAGCAAGTGTATAGTTCACACAGAGGTATGTTATGTTATTTAGACGAACAACTGTAAGTTTTCGTTAATCATTCACGCGATCTAGGTTCATGTCGAATAGCTATAGCCGGATCTTCGTTGTTTGTAAGAAAATTTTAAAATTTCGCTACGTGTATATTGGGTTCGTACGTCTACAATCCAACAACTGTTGAGGCTGCTAGAGCTCTACGTGTGATGCCTGGTGAAGATTATCTATGAAATGTCTCAATCTTATCACTATTTAAAATTTCAGCTCCTGACTTTTTTCTTTTCTTAATTTTTTTTTTTAAAAAAAAGGGAACATTGGCAGCAACATATGAGAAGCTAGGTGGAGAAGTGGTGTAGATTAGTATGGAATATTATTATTATTATTATTTAATAAGTGTTTTAGAGAATAAGTTAGGTTTAATTTTTTTGGTGATTAAGTTAGGTTTAGGATTAGAGGCCTTATATGAAGGACTCCCCTAGTTTATTTTAATCAGTTGAATATGAAATAAAAATTGATATCGTATTTTGGTGTTCTTGAGATTGCGATCTCATTAATATCGTCTCACTCGTACGCTTCCCTACATCAGTTGGTATCAGAGCCCGGGTACGTTCCATGATGCCTCCGAAGAGAGGAAATGCTAACGATCATATCATCGACGACCGATTGCAACGGACGGACGATCGAATTCATGGTATGGATGATCGATTTAACGAACTTTTTATGGGGATTGAGGAATTACGGGTTGCTATGAGTTCCATGATGTACGAGGTACATACGAACCGTGAAGGGGCTGACCGGGGCCATCGCGGAGGGATGCGCGGAGGTCGTGGGGGTCGAGGTTATGGCGGGGCGCCCCGCCGACGATCACCGGTGATGTAGGGAAACATACGAGTGGGACGATATGAGATCGCAATCTCAAGAACATCATACGATATCAATTTTTATTTCATATTCAACTGATTAAAATAAACTAGGGGAGTCCTTTATATAAGGCCCCTAATCCTAAACCTAACTTAATCACCAAGAAAGCTAAATCTAACTTATTCTCTAAGACACTTATTAAATAATAATAATAATAATAATAATAATAATAATAATAATAATAATAATAATAATAATAATAATAATAATAATAATAATAATAATCTACACCAAGAAGTGAAGTGGATGGGCATACCCGGCAAGACAATTTTAATTCTACTGCGGCTAGATCCATTCTTCGGTTGTATGAGAGTGTGTTTGTGTGCAAGATTCCAGTTGTTACTGTTAAAACTTGAGGTTTGAGGAACCAGTTAAAAAGGAGCCATGAATAGCCTTTTGATGCTTTCCACATTGTCTTGTTTTGCATTCTTCACGTCCAAATCTGATGAATTTATTTTTGGCAAAATTGTTCTTAATATCACGACCTTTTTGTCGAAACTGTAATTTAATCACGACATTTTCACTTTTGCAAATTATATCATAATCTTGCAAATTGGTGCATTTACAGATCTGTGCCAACTATATCACAATTTTCAGTTTATTTTTTGGTCACATCAGCTTTGTTAGAGTCGGTTTTCAGAACACGTGCATTGATTTGCAACAAACTGAAGATTGTGATATAATTTGCAAAAGTAAAGATTGATTAAATTTCAATTTAAAAAAAGTCGTGATATTAGTGACAATTTTGTTTTTATTTTATGACATACAGATTATATATAATTCGGCCATGGCTGGTGAAGAAGGCACTGATTGCATTGTTGTTGGTGATTCCCTCCACCACGACATTAAAGGAGCAAATATTGCCGGTATAGCTTCGACTTTCATCACCGGTGGGGTCCACACAGCTGAACTTGGACTGAGTACATTTAGACAAACTGCAGGTGATGCTTATGTTCATTCTCTCTTCAGAAAATACGATACCTATGCAACATATGTTCTTCCTTCATTCACATGGTAGCATTTTATCAAGGTCAGCATTCTTCTTTCGGTTTTCCTTGGTTTTCCATAACTTCCGCATCTATACGATTATGGTTTAATTACGGAAAAAATGCCTCTGAGCCGTTCAAACTTCAGACTAAATGCAATAAAAGAAACAGTAATGCTCTCCTGCCCACGGTGGACACATGTTAATATGTCCACCGCTTATGTGACATGCACACATTGATGATTTATTTTTTTGAACATATTAACATCACCAATGTGTGAATGTCACATAAGCGGTTGACATATTAACATGTGCCCACCATGGGTAGGGAAACATTACTGATAAAAGAATTTATCAAAGGACCCAGAATGTATCAAAATTGCAAATTCATCCTTTTGATATTTATGTGTTACAATTCTCACCATTGACATGAGATGTTTGTTATGTAGATACAAATCTCAATGGGTGTTTCTAATAGGCCAATTCTTTTGAGTTACGCAATAAAAGTAATAATTTTGGGAAATTAAACTCCCTGATGTGTTTGTCAATAAAGGGAAAATAGCGTAAAATCAGAGTTTTTTCACATCAAATCTTCAGAGGTAACATAATTTTTTATATCAACTAATTAATTAGGAATAACACTCGTAGCTGGAAAATACACGTAATTTATTCAGAAATTCATCGGCATGAAAACCTGAAGCAAAAATGATCAGGCGAAAACACGTCCAAAGCTCCAAATCACAAATAAGTAACTAATACACACAACACTCTGTATTTGTTCCGTATATTCTCATAAATAGAAAACATGGAAATTCAGCAGACTTGCATGAACAAAATAAATACTCAGACCTGCAAAAAGCTGGCGTACTTAGCGCCCAGAAATAGCCTCTGGATGCAGAGCAAGGCATTCTTGGTGACCTCAGCATTCTCATGGTTCATCAATTTCATCACTCGTTCTTTGGCTTTGAGGTCGGTCACGATGACACGACCAGCAGCATGATATTGAATGAATTGGGAGAGGTCATAGCAGGCAACAGCTAGTGTTCGAGGGTCGGAGGACGTGTCCAAAATCGTGATGAGGACCCTAAGGATCTGCAGAAAAAGGAATAAAAAAAAATTTATCAGGTTCCTGAATAATGATAAGAAAACTCTCTCTCTCTCTCTCTCTCTCTCTCTCTCTCTCTCTCTC